AGTTCATCGTTGTCCGTACGCGCTTCCCCAGTCCACTGGGGTTGGCAGGGATTCCCTTCCCCTGGTGTCTCTAGCTTAGCAATCAGGGACAGACTTTAATACTGAATATGTTAAATTATGTATGCTAATTTATATTCACACATTTTCTCATTGTATTTATAATATATAATAAACATGTTTATGTAGCATCTCTTTTCCATTACCACCGGGTCTCAAAGCGCTGTAGAAGCTCAAAAAGCATGCTCATACATACATATTCCTCTTCTGTCTTCATAGCATCTGAGGGTGTCCTAAGTCCTTAAAATAGTAACTACAGTAGCTTTGTTCGTTCTTCCTTTTCTGTCAGTAGCAAAAATAGCTCAGCTAATTTGTAGTCTCTGTTTGTAGTCTGTGTATGCGAGAATGAGGAGTGTGTGTAATGCCTCCATGACAGCACATCCTCTCACGTTTACTTCTTTTGCCTCTCTTCTACTCTGCCTGGCCTTTATGTTTATCAAAGATCTGCACTATATCCTCATTTTGACCTCTGGATATGTATTGAATGTCACTCATTTCACCTAATGCAGTAATAAGAATACATGCATGCACATGTCTGCATGGAGAAAGGAGGGAAAGCTAAGTTAAACTATTTGAGCTCTGTGAGTCTCATGGTAGTTTTGCCTGGGCTCCTGAAGGACTGAGGCTTATCACATCTCTCTTTCTGCCTTTCTTCTTCTCAAAGATTTTAAGTCCCTGCAAGATTTGTGAAATTATGCAGCTGAGTAGGAAAAGACCCAAAGTAGAGCGAGGTTGCTGTATGGGATCAACCAGTTTTAGATGTGAGAACAACCATGCAGGAGATACCAATCTGCGGGAAAGCCGGCTTCACTGGCTCTGCTGCGATGGAGCAACACCTCCCCTAGGCTGAGTTCCACAGACTAGAGCCTCTGTCTTGCCAGCATCCCCCAGTCTTGGTAAACCTTGAAAAACAATTTTTTCTCAAGTATGGGAGGGTGTGAAATCCCCACAGCACCTTCTACAGAAGCATATGGACCTACGAACAGGACCTGGTAAGTCTGGAATCCCTTTACTGTTGCTTGTGGAGACAAGGGGGCCGTGTAACATGCTCTGTGTGGCTGTGCAGAGAGTTCAGACCAGGAATCCAGGCTACCCTATGCCATTATTCATGTGAAAAGGCTAGGAAAGGAGCACTGTTTCTTGTCCATGAATGAGGATGAGCAGGTGCCCTGCACCCCTGTTACTGCTGTACTGGGATACTGGCTCACTGCTCACATGAATGTAAGGAGGACAAGTCGTCACTTGACTCAGCTGCTGTCGTCAGTAGTTAAGCTTTGATCCGAACTCTGCAGCCAACATAACTTAGGCATAGAGAGAGCTATGACCTGGGTCAGAGCCATGAGCCCATTTATAGTGCATTTGGAGTCCGCTTAGTGATTTCCTGTCCTAGAACAGAGCTCATCTTCCTCTGCTTAGCCTGAGCAGCTTGTGCCCCAGGTGGCAGTAGGGACCACCTTGGAATTAGACATCCATCCAGGAGCTGTGGCGTGCTGTAAATCCTAGACTAGCTGTGTCCAAGCAGCAGTTAGGTTACTTCTTGGCACTGCATCTAGTTCTAGTGGAGGACACTGGATACAGTTCAGTTAGAAAGCTCTGTATGCTGCGTTCTGCATAAGATAGGGAATATATCTCTTCATTGCATCAGCTCTCCCGTGGCCCTGCAAAGCAAGAGAGCCAGGGCAGCAGACTCTCTCTTTGAGGGGTTTGACAGACACCATTTCACTTCCTCTGGTCTGAAAAATTAACAATGTGTAATTGTAGAACATGCTGATATCTCTTGTCGTGTTTAACTGGCTTCACTGTCAGCCATCTCTTGAGACACCTCCTGAAATTCTTTTTAGCTTCTTGCTCCTCTTGCGCCGAAATATCCAAGTTGGGGGGAGAAAGGAGAGAGAGCACAGCTAGAAGTGGTAACACATACGTATCTGTGTTTACAGACTTGATCACTTCTCTCCAGTCTGGCTGGAGGACATGCAATTCTAGACACTGATGTGCCATCACACCAGAGAGAAGGTAGTGATTAATCATTGCAGCTCACAGTGCAGCTTCTTGGGAACTGGCTGTACTGTAATAATGTTGGCACTCCAAGGGGATTCTTCTAGCAGCTGTGGGTGATAAGCTAACCTCTGTGAAAAGATGCCTGGGCACCCCGGGATTGGAGGCACAGGCCTGATTTTTTCCCCAAGAGCAGTAGGTAGCCCTGTTTCCTATGTAAATATGATACTTTATTGATCATAAGTCTTCAGAAGTCACTGGAAGCATAACTAGGGGAAGAGGTCAGATCCATTATACAGACTGAATTATTCCAGCCTTATTAGTGACACAGCGTGACTTCTTCTGTAAGCTAGCAAATAGTCACCAAGCCAAACTGCATCAGACAAGTAGTTCATGATACATAGCAAAGCTAGATCAGGATCTGATCCAAAGGTCTCATTGGTAGTTCCCTGGAGGCTTTTACGCACCCCTTCTTTTGCTGAGATAAGACATTTTTTTCAAACACTTATATTGTTTCCTTCCTCACTGCATGGTTAATTCTGCAGGGTACAAGTTTCCCAGTGCACAGTCCTCAGCTGACCCCACTTTGCAGTGTGCAAGCGTCCTGTCATCTTTAACCCTGGTGTCCTGCTTGCCCTTTACAGGTGGGAGCTGGGAGGCCAAGGCTAGCTCATCCTTGGGACCCTGGTCACCCTCCACTCCCTCTATACTCAGCAAAGAGAGCAAGATGCGACCAGAGGGAGGTTCAGGTTTGGCCTCCTGGAGTCCTCCCCCTCCACAGGCAACCTAGGGGCCTGAAGTGCCTCTACTGTGTCTCAGTCCTTCCACCCATGTAATGCTTCCTGAAGGCCTGTTGGTGTCATACAGGTCAGGGAATTGAGCGTGACTCTCCCATTAGCTGTGTGTCGCTGGTGAAGGGCTGGGCCAGCTGCCAGACTCTCTTGGCCATGGTCACTGCCTGAGGGCATGAAGCTCTGCAGGTCAGTTGTGTGGTATGCTACCAAAATCCTTCACTCTATGCTGTTTCAGCTGGTTCAATTCTATATAATATCTCTTACAATATTCTTGTAAGAGATGGTGAGTAGACATGACCTGCCTACCTCTCCATATCCTTCTGCACCTCTGGTCCTTCTGTGGTAGGGCTGCCCTGCTGACCGCCACATGGCACTGCAGACAAGGGCACACGGCCACTTTGATGGCACAGTTAGTCACAAAGTACTGCTGTCTCTGTGTTTTTTGTGCAGGTGGTTACAATTGGTTCTCATGTAAGGGGCTTTCAAACGTAACGGAAGGCTGCTGGCATGACCAAACAATCTATCTATATTCTGGATAATTTTTCTCACATACATGTGCACATTGCAGTCCACTTCTGGAAAAGAAACGCAGGCTGAACTTGTCAAAACTTGGGTGAGGCTCTGTGATGTGAGACCGATTTTTGCTTCTAAACAAGTAGTTTCATGTTCAAGGATGTTGAGGCTCTAAAGCAGTCGATTGACATCTGAAAATGCATATTTTGTCTCCAACGTTGGGGCTGAGAGTTTGAAGATGTTGACTGTGACCTCTCTACGTGTTGGTTTCTCATCTAGGGTGTAGGGACACGTGCCCTTTTGGGAAAGGCTTAGAGGTCTTTGGAGGGCTAGCAATGAAAGGACTTGTTAAACAATTATTTATTCATTTCAATTAGGGGGCTGCATTCATGGATCGCTTTCCTACCACTATCTGTGTGAGGTCGCTGGCTAGCAAGCAATGATTGCAGGTCAGGATGGACGCACAGCTGTGCCTATCTGAAGTGGCTTGTGATGTTGTTCCTCTCTTGAGCCTACAAATTGCCCTTTGATGTGGCATTGTCTCCAGAGTACCTATGTGCTCTGCTTCTTGTGTGGGTTAGGAAGCCGTTTATTTACCCAACGCTCTTCTAAGGAAAGAGGGCAAGTAGGGTGAATTTAAGTCAATGATCCCCTGCTAACATAAGCTAAGGAAGATTCCAGTAAATTATAGTGCTGAATTAATTCCCAGAGACCTTTCCTCACAAGGTCCTGTGGCTGATCTGAATGCTTTCCCCCTGTTACGAGCACACAGGGCAAGAGCAGGAAAGATTCCCAAGTCAAAACTGGTCGAGGGGAAGGAAGGTGCAGCCCTGTGAGCTGTCCAGATCTTTCTGAGCTCCAGCTCTTCTTTCCCTTTTGCAGATGCTGGTTTGATGCTGGAGGAAATACCATTTTGTTTTTTGTTTTTTTTTGTTTTGGGGGGGGGGGAGAGTCCCTTGAGCACTCGTGTCGCAGGGGAGCTCTGAGGCGCGCGGCAGTGCGTGTGTGGCGCTGTGCCTGTGAGGACAGCTGCCGGTCACCTGCCGTGGCCGTAAACGCTGCTCTTCTGCCAGCCAAAAAAGAAACGAGCAAGTGGAAATAAGATACGAGTGTTTTAATTATAGTATTTAGAAAACTGCATAAAACTAGATTCTAGTATTTAAAACGCAAGAGACACAGAATCACGGCCTCTGCTCAAGAAGTCCTAACCTGATCGGGGATGTTATTAGGTAACTTTCACACATACTGAAAATACATCTCCCTTTGTGGGAGGAATGCCTCCTGGCTGCTAAGATCTTACCAGGAAGGTGCTGAAGCCATCAGGCCTGGAAGAGGCACCAGCAGGGCGATGCGAGGCTGTCGGACGTGGCCGTCCTGCGTGCTCCTTTGCTCGCTTATGCATCCCGCTCCCTCGACCCTCCTAATGGTGGTTCGACACGCGTGGTATCGTCGGAGCAGCGGCATTGGTTTGTTGTCCTGCTCCAGCTGAGGTGGTGGAGTGCAGAGCTGCCCAGCAGGTATCCCCAGGCGTGTCTCGCCTATCTCCCCCCTTAACCAGATCTGAAATCCAGCCATTTCTCACAGCCCTGTCATCTTTTATCACCTTCTCATTCTGTAACTTGCTGCCTCTCATGTCATGTCTAGTAGTTTCTTGCATCCTGTTCGGGTCGCTGGACCTCAGGCCAGAGCCCGATCCTCTGCCTGCAGCCCCCGCAGTGGTGTCGCTCAGGAGTGAGTGACGGCATCTCACCGGTACCTTGCTGCTCAGCTAGGGAAACTCATTTGTTACAAGCTGATACGGCCCAAAAAGAAACTTGTGGGGCTTTTTAGTATTAGGCATCAATAAAGGGCGAGTTGTTAAAATTTTTCAAAGAACGGAAATAAACCATTGTTAATTATGTGGTATACAGAAACTGCCACTGGGACAGTCTGCTTCTCTGTTGTGATGTTAAGATATTTTTGACCTTTGTAGGTCAAAAAACCCAGTTATCTGGACAGAGTTGAAATTGTTTGGGACTGTGGGGTGACAGGTCCTGGAGGATGTGTGGTTTATTCAGCAGACTGGGAGAGCCAGGAAGCAGAGCGCAGCTGTATGGGGAGATGCTAAAGCAACTGTTCTTCACCAAAGTTAGAGCAGAGCAGCATAAGGGTCTAGGTGTGGAAAATCTTCATGGTAGAGAGTTAGTGAGACTGGTAGAAGTTTTAGCCTTCCCTCTTACCAATGAGGTCTGTGAATGGGAGAATCAGCAATTTTGTAAAGTAAATTAAACTCGTGGCTTTGAGAGAGTCACGGAATCACAGAGTAGTTGAGGTGGGAAGGCACCTCTGGAGATCATCTGGTCCAACGCCCTGCTCAGGCAGGGTCACCTAGAGCAGCTTGCTCAGGGCGGTGTCCGGTTGGGTTTTGAACATCTCCAAGGAAGTGGGTCTTCATCATAGCAATTTCATAAAAGTTTTCAACTATTTAAGTGCAGTGCTGCAGAGAAACTCTTCTTGCCTTGTTTGGAATAGTTGTAGTTTTCTTTGAAAAGAAACGCAAGCTTCTTTTAGAAGGCATGATACTGGTTGCAGAAGTCTTGAATGTTAGAAAAAGACTTTCAGTTCTGTGGTCAGATACCCTTGTTATACATAACCTGTTGCAGCGAAGGCTAGTTTCCTCTAAAGTTTCTGTTTTGCTCTTTTTGTTTAAATATACAAACACAGTGTTGTAGGAAGCTGCATGTCTTACTGGCTTCATTCTCTGTAAAGACACTTGAGCCTCATGACAAGAGAGAGGTTCATCCAGGGCTGAATGGGTGAAGAGGGCGGCCTATTTTCCGTTCTGTGTCTGATTGCTTTAAGTTATGCATGAAGTATGAACCTGCAAGGCAAGGGTTAGTTTTGTTTTTAAAGTGTTCGGCTGTGCCGTGCCATGCCGTGTCCATCCTGAGGATTTTGCCAGAGGGAGATTATATGGATAATCTCAAATGCCAGATTCACTGGAGTTCTTTATATTAACTGGAGTACAAGTACGATGTGCCTTGCAAAATGGTTCTTGTAGTAATACAACAGTGGATAATGAATGTAAAATAATAAGTGCTTAAGATGTTGGATGAAAGAAATAGCCCACAGAAGCGTTGGAGTAGGAGGCAGAAATGGCACCAACTGCTCTGCGGTGCCCTTGCCGCGAGGGATCTGCGCTGTCAGCTTGATTCCCTGTCAAAAGGTGTTGTTGTCATCTTCTGTTCCGCAGAACAGCCAGCGGTTTATTGCTGCCTCTTTCCAAGAAGTAGCAACGTACAGGTGATGTAATTCTTTCAAATGCTTGCAGACGTTGTCAGGTTCGTTTAGGTCTCTAATTAGTTTATTTGTAGTAAACTGCTGGTAATTGTGCAGAGGGGAGATTAGAAACTTCTTGTAATTTTCCAAATCAGGATTATGCAGTGAATATAAGTAAGATTATGAAAATGGCCAAAAGAGAGCAATGTTGCTTTGGAAACTTGCCAGTGACTTTTAGCGATAATGGCGTATTTGGACGTGAAGGAGAAAATGAGGCTCAGGCTTCTGTTTATGAAACATCGGTACTTAAAGATTTTAGTTTGTCGTTGCGTGGCCAGCAATGGCATGTTCTACGCGTTGCAAACACCTTCCAAAAACTGGTTGGGCCTTGGATAGTTTTTAGGTTATCGCTCTCGCTCCTACGTGGTAGGAGTGCGAGTGTCTGACAAGGCAGACTGAATGCTTGCGTTTCTCTTGCTCTCATCTGGAGTAACTATGAATGAGTGGGACCGTTTATTTTTATTTAAAAAAGCAAAAACAAAACCAGAAACCCCTCGTAGGGGACAAAGCCCAAATGCTGAGCAGAGAGAAGCAAGTTTTCTCCTCTGTCCTGCTCGATTCCTAAATGCAGCCTGTAGGAACAGATGTGTTTACTGAAGGTGGGAGGACAAAACGGGTACGGTGTTATTTGCCATCACTAGATATGAGTTGTAATCGCGTAAGTGCAGCCAGCGAGAAAAATAATGGAGTGAATCATATACTAATATTACAGCTAATAAACTCTGGAAAGCCTGGTGAGGGGAGTGCTGAGCAAAGGCTCATTTCCAGAAGAGCGTTTCGTTCAAAATAAAGTTTTTGAGTTCGCAGCCCCTTCCGTCTGAAGATATTAATATAAAATAACTTCTTTCCCCTCATTTTATTAGGTTGAGCTATATGCGTAACGCTAAAATATTTTACTTATTCTGTACTCAGTGGTGTAATAAGGACCTACCAAGAGTCAGAAACGTGTGCAACTGTCGATTGCAAAATCATTTAAGAGTCTTTTATTAGTAACGTCCAGTTTAACAGGACCGATAAAACCTCAACTTATGCTTCCGGGAGAATCAAGTCTAATAAACTTATTCTGTAATGTTTCTGATTATAATTTTGTGTTTCCTTACTGGCTGTCGTAAACCAGAAAATGAAAATGTTGAGCACAGTCAAGGCTCATAAAGTTCCCTGGCGTGAGAAGCGGGCGCTTCCTCTTGCGGCGCACGCACGCTCCTGTTACTAGTTCAGTGGTTTTGGCTGATGTTCTAGAAAGAATAAAAGTCAATGTTCCTGCCTTTCCTCCCTGTGTTGTTGGGTGACCATAGGACCTAAACCACAAGATTTGTGTGCTCTGTTTATTTCCATATGTAAAAAGAAATAGACAGACTTCTCTTCTTGGGTTAAGTTTTAGGGAAGCTGTCTCCTTTTTTAAGGAAAATTTCCTAGTTGTCCAGGAGACCTCAGCTGTGGGAAAAGTTCTGGCTGTGACTTGCACGCTGATGTCCCGCGAGACCTGTGTTCTTCTTCCAAGAGTTTGTGTTTAAAAAAACTGAGGGAGACAGTTTTTTTCCTTACCGTTTGGGTTGGTGTAGTTTAACCGGTCAATCTTTCTGGTCAACCTTCATTTTCAGCTAAGATATAAAGAAGATAAAAATCTTGAGTGATGTGCTCTTTATTAACTAGAGTCTAGTGAGATACCACTCTTTCATTCAGCAATTTCATTTATATTGTAATGTGATCTCTGTCTTGAAAGCACGTCTGTTATTAGTTCTTTCAAAGAGGAAGTTGCGGTTGGGAGGCAGGTGTCCCAAGGTCAAGAAGAAATGCTTTTATGTCTTCAAAAATGAAAATAGTGTAAAATATTTAAACAAGTGTTGTCATCTTCTGCGTTGGTCACAGCTGGGCTGCTCTAGTTCATGCTTCTTGATTAATGCAGTGGTACTACCCGACCTGGACGTATGAAGCATAAATAAGCAAAATAAATGCAGAAATAAGCTGGGGTGGTTGTGTGCAGCGTCTCCCCTCCCAAATGTCAAACTGCACCTTAAAAAGCCTTTAACCTGCAAGCTGCGTTTGCCAGGACCCTGTCTTGGGAAAGCGCAGCCTACCCTCGCTGCTCCAGTACCAGCTGCCACTTTTCCGCAGAATACGTGCAAGCTGCGATGATAAAACAAACTAACCTGTTACTTGTATTGGGCTGAGCAGATGTTTAAACATGCTCGCTGCTTGACTCTTGCCTCCTCCGTCCCTTGCAGAATTGCCGGTGTGGGAGAGCTTCACTCCGTCCATTACGGCAGCGCCGTGGATATGCTACTGCGTCCGGAGAATCTGGGTACGTGGTAGGTGTTGGAGGGTGGCGTCGACTCTTGCGTCGTATCCGCCGAGAGCGATTTTGCTTCTGAGCTTTGCGTGAAGGCAAATTGGAGGTGGTGGGATGGGGGGATTGTTTAGTAGCTTTTATTGTCATGGCTTTTGCGTGTTGTTTGATTGAATCAGATTTAAGTGAAGCTTGTCAAGGTGATGGTTATTCAGAAGGGGGACCCTCAGAGTGAGGTCGTGGGCTGTCGTCTTGCCTCGTACAGTGCTGGGGATGCTCTGGGGCTCAGAGTGATTTAAGGTGGATTCTGGATTTATTTCTTGGCAAATTTTTGGAACAAAGTGTAAGCTTAAAGGTTTAAAATCTATCTGATGATTGCTTGTCATACTACTGATATGATTTACAGAAACAGCTTTTGTTCTCCCCCCCCCCCCCCCTTAGTGTTTCTGTAGGTAAAATTATTGGTGCAGGTATCTTGTTTGTGGGTGGAGGAGTAGGTGGAACTATCTTATATGCCAGCTATGATGCTCGTTTCCGGGAAAACGTAGAGAAGGCTGTTCCCTACTCTGATAAACTCTTTGAGATGGCACTTGGTCCCGCACCTTGCAGCGTAACGACGCCAAAGAAATCGGTAAGTGTTTTGCCTTCACCTCTACTTTTCAATTTTTGTAGACAGAGCAGCTGCTTTTAGTTTTCAAATTCTGATCAAGTTTGGCATGTACTAGATTTTAGAATTATGAACTGAGCTTTTTCATGAATTAGAGTTGTAGATTTTTGCCCTTCTTTGAAAAGACTCTGAACTGCATAGTAGATTCTTTCCTAGTTCACACTTTTGTTTCTTGTTGGATGAATTACCCATTGAACAGAGGTACTATTTTCTGAGTGCTGCATAATGTAATGTTGCTTGTACGTTTCCCATTATCATCTGAATGTGATTGTCGTCCCTGGGTTGTAAAACTCTCATTTTTTTCCTTACCTGCGAGTAAAATAATCCAGTAAGGTTGTAACTGAATAGCTGGTGTGCTTATACTCCTAAATAATCTAGGCAAAAGGGGGTAGGCGAAATAGTGGAGTTTAACCATTTCACTAGGGCTCGAGGTTTAGTTTACTTAGTGGCGTGGTGAGATGAAGCTGAATTTGTTTTAAAGAGAGCTGAGAACTTTTTGAATCAATAAAGCTGTGAACGGTACAAAGCGATGCCTAAGCATCATACTTTGAAAGCTTGGTGACGTGACCCTGCAGAAAGGAGGAATCTCCTATGAACCAGGTGCTGCTTTCAGGCCAACACTGAGAACTGAATCTAGAAATTTCTCTGCTACTTCATCTAAAAGAAGATGCTTCCTGGTAAAACAAGAAAACTGAAAAGCTACTCTGCCCGTGCCTGTGCTGAGCTTTCAGAAGCTGTTTGACCTCCAAGACGACCAAAATATTTTTAATTTGAGTGTAAAAAAGCAGTGCTGAATGGAACGGGAGAATATGGCGTGCTGGTTAGCCCAGACTGCGTCTCGCCTGCATTCAGCTACGGTTCCCTTGTGATCACCCCAGTTCTTAACACCTCCTGGCCACCGAGGAAGCTCAGTAACTTTTGTGACAAACGCAGCGGTCAGACAACAAAATTGTCATCTGCCCAGTTATGGCTCTAACCTAAATGCTTTTGTTATTACCTTGCTTCCTATGCTGGCTAGAAAAAGATTAATATCATAAGACCTTGCAATACACCACCCTTGAGTAAGTGTTCTTCTGCCTGCACGCTGGCATCTGAGCCCTTTCAAAGGGAAATCGGTGAAGCCGCGCAAAGCTGATTCTTCTATGCCTGTCAAACTCATTCCATGCCTGTAGGATCTTCTGTTCAACAATATCCAGATAAAACATTTGTGTATATATTTTTTTTAAAAGCACATCTTTAATTTTGCAGTCATTTACTTTAAAACAATTCTTGTTTTTTTTTCTTCCTAACCACAATTTGAAAAAGCATTATCTAGGGAGTGGGTGGGTGGGAGAGACTCCCGTAATTGTTGGTGGACAAAAAATTATGACTGAGGGAACAAGCTGTTGGAGCAGTTAGCTGAAAAACTAAAGTTGGGTTGGGAAGAATGAAGGCCTAACTTGTTTTGAGGATAATACTTGAAGGGTATGAAATGAAGAGGAAAAGTGTAGACCGAATTAATTTAAGATATGCTTAAATGGACTAAATAATGTCCAAGGGGAGGTGGTTAAAATATGCTTCCTGGAGCTGTTTCAGACCTTCGTGTGGAGGTGATCTTTATAGTTAGTTTCTGCATTATCTGTATTTTCTGTAGTGTTTCAAAACACCTAGAAGTGTTTGTAATGTTTGGGGCATGAAATTATTTGCTTTTTATGCATCCCTTAATGAACTTGTGTTTGTACTGAACACTGCTGCTACTTGTACGTTCGGTTCAAGAGAGCTGAAAATTGTACAGATTCTCTCTAAATTAAAAATCAGAGCAAGAAACTATATAGCCTTGTTACTGTTTTCGTATGTACCTCAAAGTTTTAGATTTGTGATGCAGTCGTCTGGACACGCAAATGTTCTTTTCCATTGTAATGGACTCAGTGAGACACAGGCTGTTTAGAAAACTGATAATATTTCTTATTTTGATCTTCAAGATACAGCAAGGCCCGCTGAAGATCTCATCTGTAGCAGAAGTAATGAAAGAATCCAAACAGCCCGTTACCAAATCCGAAAAGAGCAAAACGGAAGCTGCTGCTTCGTCAGAAGAAAAGGAAGGTAACTTTACAGAGTGTCATGTAGAGCAAAACAAAACAGCTGATGTTGTCCTATATCATACCTTCACAGTAGGTTAAAGTAGTCTTACGGAGTGGTTGAAGATGAATATAATTTCTTAGATATAATGTTATTTTCTATTCTAGTCGTAAGAAAACTTGCCTAAAATGACTTTAGCTTTATTTTTGGGTTGGTTTTCAGGAATTTCATTTACCTTCTAGAACACTTTGGAATCAAATATAAACAAAAGCTGTCCTTCATGGTTTACAGACAGGACTCAGCAGGGAGAGCCCTTTGGGTGGTGGGCTCTGAGGGGATTTGCCTCTTCTTTTTAAACAAATGAAAGAAGCTTAATTTGGGATAATTGCGAAACTACTTTTAAGCCAGATGAAATGGAATTGGTTTAGAGAGGAGCAGCTGTCATCCTTTTCCCTTCATTTGTCATGTCCAGTGAAGTTTTGTGTGTGGAAGTACTACCTGGTTGCTGCCTATGATCTTCACTTTATTAAAAGATGTTTGTACCATAGAGGGGAGTGCAGTTCTCTTTTTCCTGGAAGTAGTGATATGAGTATCCAAATAGTACGTTTCTATAGAGGAAAAAAGTTTAGAAGCCTGTACATCCCTATATTTACATTATAGCATGCATATACTAACTGGTTTTGTTCCATAACTATACTTAACAGCAGGCACAACTGCAGCTCAGGTCATCTCTGCAACAGGTGAAGCTGTGTCAGTGCCAGCTCCAGGGATGCAGACTGAAGAAGGTAAAAAAAAGATCATATGCGTGAACACCATGAAGCAAACCGAAAACTTGTTACCGCAAGTGCATAACTTTGTGTGTTGATATTTGTCAGGTTTTAAAGGTGTGACCCTCTGTGCCTTTTGCAGAAGGAAGAGCGCATGGTCTGCTGATGAGACCTTTAGCATACTAAGACGCTGAGATTGATACCTAGAACAGGTGTAGGTGTGAACTCGAGAAGAAAGCCCGCCTTTTTTTCTTGCGCGGAATAGGAAATTGTACAGTCCGCTCTGCCTCCACTCTTTGTGTCTTTTTTGATTCAGAAATGCTTGTCTGTTCAGGGCTAAGGGAAGGAACTGTACTTAATATTTAACACTGTATAAGAAACACTGATTTCTCTCTGATAGTTTCTTTCAGATAAGATTCATTTCTTTACGTATTACCAGGTTTCAAAAAAGGTATGCCAACAGTGAGTGAATGCATTCTTCAGAGTTGGCATCAGCATTACAAGGTTTCCTGGTGTTTTTTGTTGCAGCGTGAGTCTGGGAGCTGAGGCATCTGGGTTGTCTCCTCAGTTTGTCTGCACACTTGCTGTTGATCTTCAGAGCTTCGCTTAGCTCACTGTTTACCCTCTGCGTTGGGGAGCGAAAGTGTTCTAAATGGCCTTAGGCTAGGGAGTGGAATATAATCTTGATTCGCTGTAGCCTTTTCCCTAATATTTCTTTACTTTGGCTGAACTCTCTAAGCATGCCAAAGGAGCGCTGAAAAAAATGTGAGTGGATATTCACTTAAGGTCTAAACTTGGACCCATAACTGTTTTTCACTGCTTGCTTTACCTTTCACTTCTGACTTTTGTATATTTTTGTAACTAGAGAGCATAAAATTTACAGGTTCATATGAGGTAGCCACACAACTGTCTTTAATTTTAAACAGCTTTGAGACTAGCCTTTGGAATTCTGGGTTTAAAAAAGCTTGAGGTAGTTCCAGGATGGCTTTATGTGGGAGTCAGGTTTATGAAGCAATACTAACCGTGAACATCAATTGTGACTGGAAAGTTACTTCCCTACGAGTAATCCCTGTACTAATTCAGACCGTCCACTAAACCGCTTTCACTCTCGTTACTCCTGAATAGCTAAAGAACATGAAGATTCCCATGCCATAAAAGAACGGTCACCAGAGGAAGTTGCAGCCCGGCTTGCCCAGCAAGACAAAGAGGAACAAGAGAAGATATCGGGTAAGTCAGTACCCTTAAATGGCTGTTGCCTTACTTTGTGTATGCGTGCGTTGTATGCAACAAAAAAAAATTGCGAGACTATCTTGGCTTTAGATTCTGACTTGCTTTGTACCTCTGTTTTACCTGTGCTGTGTTGGCAGAATGCGTTGTACTCGAGCTTCTTAGCGGCCATCCGTTGCTGTCTGCCCAGTGTGTTGATACCTTTCTTATTCTGTGGGGGTGGGGGGGGTCTCAAAACGAGACACGATATTCCAGATGTGGTCACAGGAGTGCCAGTTAGAGGGGAATAATTCCTTCCCTTAAGCTGTTGGGTATGCTGCTGTTGGTGCAGTCCAGTTCACAGTTAGGCTTTGTTGCTGTTGACTCACGTTCAGTTTGCCATCCCCTGCTACCAGATGCTGCTGCCTAGACTTGTTCTGTGGTAATTCAGCAGCACTATGTCAAGACACTGAAGAGTTACTTAGAGGTTTTACATTGGGCACTGTGGCTATTCCTTGCTCAGGTTTTAACTTGAACAGACCTTTTAATCCAAGCGCCCTTGGAGCGGCCACGCTACTGAGAGGTTGTCTGGCTTTTCCTGTATCCTGCTTAGGTACTTCTTGCGCGTCTTGCTCAAGACAATAAATTTTGTTTTGTTTTTTCTCCTATTTGGCTTATTAGTTTTTAAATACTTCTGGGCTGTTGTTTGGTTTTGCTGCAGCAAGATTCTTTAAATTGGGAGTTTTAGGTCATTTCCTGATTGGCTTCAGGGGCAGCCAGAGAAGTAGGGAAGTGTTTTTGGTAGATAGTGTTTTGCCGTCTAGTACGCCTGGGCAGATCTGTGGCCAGCTACCTTGAGACTTCTCTTCTGACACCAAACCCAGCCGAGGCTGCAGGTTGTCTGGTAATGCTAGCATGCTTGCATGCTCTCCTTAGCCAGCCTTGATGGGGATGAGAGGGAGACCGGCCTCTTGGAGAAGCGAAGGGATGTTGAAGAGCTAGTTCTGACTTGGGGGGATGCGAGTATGGCTGCCTGCGATGGCTCTGCAGACCTGCAGCGAGGGAAGGAGTCTCTGGTGCGGGGTAGGATAGAGGCATTGGTTGCCTGGATGCTGAACAGCTATTTCAGAAAAAAATTGTAACGCTCCTTACTGTGTTTAAAGTAAGTGAAAGTTTATTACTGATCACGTAGAACAAGCTTGAAAGGGGATTTAACCAGACTGAAGAACTGGATGTGCTTTAGCCTGCCTTGAGGGCTATAACCTTTTTATTTTATTCTTGTTGTGTTTGGAAAGAGCTGATGTTGGAAGAGATGCTAGTAGCAAGCTGGGTCTCGTCTGGCCTGCCCACACCCTGTGCAAGTGAATTTTTGATCTTGGCAAACGTGCTGGCCATGCTCGGACTTCTCTGGGTGCTTTGGACCTCAGCCGCGGCCTGCGTCTGGGCGCGTTGTTGCACGTGAGCGGCGGGAACGGTATACAAGCCTGGACTTCATGGGCTCAGAGCCACGTTTAGCTCCCTGTAGACATTCTTGTCGTAGTCTGCTGCTGCTGGTTACTGTTCCAGGGCTTTGTCTGGTTTAGAAGAGCCCCAGCTACACTAATAGAAACAAGAGCTTTTGGCAATAGCTCTCTGCTTCTTACAAGGCCTTTGTTGCAAGGGAAGAAGTTAAGGTGTTATGCTGGAAAAAAAACCCAAAGGAATATTTACTGGGAAGGTAGATCTACTTGGCCTACTGGTTGGAAATAAATGTTTGGCTCCAGTAGCTGGTAACTTTGATTAACTGTTCTGCTTCGGATCTTTCTTGAATAATTGGTAGGTCATTTGTGCTTACATACCAACAGGAATAGATAGTTGCTTCCACTGCTTTTTGCAGCTGGGAAGAAAAACTCTTTATTTCCTTGTGGAAGATAGGAATATACACTTACTTTCTCTTAGTAACCATTTTAACAAGTGAAGATGGAAAATACTTATTGTATTAAACACACCTCCTTCCAAAAGTATGATAAAGGTCTTCCACTGAATGCCTTTATTGACTGAATATTTATTTAATAATTATAACTTATTTACAGAGTGAACAACTGTAAGTGCAGGCTTATGGCTTATTACTCCTTTTCTTAAAAAGGAGCATGTTCTGATGACCTTTCTTCTTCGGTAGGCTGCGGCATAGTTCCCAAACTCACCACGTCTTTTGTGTCACAGAAAATAATGTAAGGAGACAATTGAGGGAATGTGGAGGACGTAATGTGTCATTTCACTGACTGTAAGACTCTTTTCTTTTCCTTATAGTTTAATTCAGTGTATTTTTCCAGCCCTTGCAGCAACTTTAGAAGGAGCCCTAAGCAGTACAGCTCGTATAACCCTCCAGGCAATTACTGCGCAGGAATCCGCTGTGCAAGCTGTGAATGCCCACGCACAAATACTCAAGGAGGCGATGGACAATTCTGAGGTAAACTGGACAAATGGGAACAATTTTTTTTTTTTTTTTTTTTACATTGTGTTCAGCAAACCTTTTCATCTTACTATTAAAGATAAAATTGGAAGCTTTTCTTGCAGTATCTGTTCATCACAGTTTTAATCTTTCCACCTGTGTAGTTTAATACTACGTTCACTCTCTTGACTTTTCTTGTTTTTCCCCAGCTGCTTTATTCCCATTTTGCAAGTAGGGAAATCCAAGTTATATGCTGATAGTCTTGACAATTTAATGATTCATTTTATTTTAACTTCTGACCCTGTTTTTATCTAATTATAATTAGGGTGCCATACTGTCTACCATGATAACTCTGTTAAACCATTCCCTTCGCCAAAGTCTTCCTGTTGGATTGTTCTCTCCTTAGTCTGGAATATGTTTGCAATGTCTGTAGATGACTATGGCGTATATGAATTGTCGGAGCTTGTTCTGGTGCTCCAACATCTGCGTTTGCGTAGAACCACTGCTTCTCGGTTCTGGAGCAGATGATATAATCTAATGGTTAATCAGATGAACAGGGGCACGTGCAGAAACTGTACAAGCACTCAACATCTAATCTTGCAGTTAGTAAAACAAAAGAACTTTGTGAGAGTTTATGTTTAAGCTTAACACTTAAAATCCTGTAAAACTTTGAAATTGTTTTTAAGCTTAATATACATGGAGAGGTTTCCCTCCAAATGCCATAGCCCTATGCAGAACTGTGAGGGTCGCTGGGTGTAAAAATGACTCTTGCTCAAGTGGAACAAAATGGAAGAATCAAACAGAATATAACGTTGAGAGGAAAAAACAGTCTCAAAGCTTCTACCTGTGGTGGTGTTAAATCAATGAACGTTGCTCAGTTTTCAAATGAAATTAATTTAGGAACTTCTGAATCTCTGCAGGTTTTTTTGGGGGGGGATAACTTTTTTTTTTTAGTGGTTGTGATTACCCTGATTGGAAATCTGTGCTTTTTAGACTGCTGGGGAGAAAAAATCAACTCAGTGGCGCACTCTGGAGGAAGCGTTGAAAGATCGGAGAAGAGCAGTGGATGAAGCTGCTGATGCCCTCCTGAAAGCCAAGTATGTTACTTGTTGTTACGGCTTATCGAGGGGTGAGGGAACATCGCCTATGTGAAGGCTGGCAGAAATTAGATGAGTTTCTAGAAAGTACTTAGGGTCACCTATATACATATATACATATATACATAAAAAAACTGATCTGTTCAGGCCAAATCAAAAAAGTAGTCACATACCTTAGCTTGTAGTTTGTACTTCTTTGGTGTCTGTGCTTAGGGTCCTTAGTGTACCAAAGAGTCTGAACCAATCGTGTTCCTCTTTTTAAGAACTTGTTTATCTCCCCGTTACTTACGTATAGCGTTGGGAAGTTTAAGCTTGCGGCTTACCCCAGTGAGGTCACTGGAAATCTTTCAGTTGGTTTGAATGGGTTTTGGACAAGGAACGCTTTTTCCTTGATTTCCAATTATGCTAGAGGAAACGGTTCTTAATTGCCAAAAAAACAGTCTGTTTTTCTGGAGGTCTATGAATTGTCTCCATCTTCCTTTATTCTCCACCAGTCACCATGTCCCAAACACTTCCGTAAGAGTAAACCATCTGTAGTATATGAGAACATTTTCTTGATATTGCAGGATGGAAATGCCTGCTTTCTAATACTAACTTAGTTTTGACTTTGCAGAATACAGCTAATCTCAAATCTACGCTGGTGACCATTTCCATGCCCAGTCAAAGAATTCAAAACTTGATTACTCTCAGTAAACTTCCTTTCACCTGTCCTCTCAGACTAAGCCCTGAGTTCCAGTTATAGTTAAATAACTGGAATATAGTTAAATTTGTTATTTTACACAGAGCAGAGACAATGACCTTTTTAGGCTTCAGGCTTTGGAAAAAAAAGTTTTGATTGCAGCATCCTAATCGCAGAGCTGGTAGATGGGATACCTCAGTAGAGTCGTCTCGTGAGTGCAGGCAGTAGGAGGTAAACTTTTGTCTGGAGCTGTGTTGTAAGACATGTATGAGTTGTAACTGGCAGCTTCTCTTTTTAGAGAAGAGTTAGAGAAGACGAAAGGTGTCATTGAGAATGCCAAGAAGTCTCAGATCGCAGGAGCAAAACCTCACATACTTGCTGCAGAAGAAAATCTTCATCATATGATAGTTGACTTGGACAATGTAGTGAAAAAGGTAAGTAGTTAGTCTGTTAGCCTAGAGCCCAGCTGTTTAGCAAAAATTGTTCTGTAGCAGGGGAAAAGAGTTAGGCATCTGTGAAGGTGCAGACTGAATTTAGGATACTCTTTGGGTCTTGTCCCAGCTATAGTTTGGTTATCTAGTTACAGTGCACGTGACAGAGAGAATGGACTTGTGATAGTTCCAGCAAATACTTATTGTATACAAGACCCTTGATATCAGGGAGTGTCGTCTTTCTCCAAGTAAGTTTGTTTTAGTTGGGCTGGAGGATAACACCTCTCGCTCGGGTCCTGCTCCTGAATTATTTATGTCTCTGGCTTTGCTAGTTGCCTTGAAACATAAACATAATCCTTTTTTGTTTGTTTGTTGTAGGTTCAGGCAGCACAATCTGAGGCTAAGATAGTAGCTCAATATCATGAGCTTGTGGCTACAGCTAGAGAAGAATTTCAGCGAGAACTTGATAGTATCACTCCAGATGTGCAGCCTGGCTGGAAGGGGCTAAGTAAGTCTCTGATTGCAGCGTTACTTTGGAAGTCTGTTACGTGCTAGTCGTTTTGTTTGGCAGCGTTTCTGCAGTTTTAACCGCTGATTCAAATGTCCAGCTTCCTGTTTTCTATATCATTTGGTTGGTTAGAAGGTAAAATTAATTCACAGTTAAAACAAGTAGTCTAAAGCAGGTGTTTCAAAACGGCTTTGTTCTGTAAACTGCCTGCACTTGTTTGAAATTTCACAACATGTAGCTCTTGTATGATAAAGATCATGTGGCTTTTTACACATCTCTTCTGTCCCCTGGTATTCCAGGAATAGAGAGCCCAGTAAGCCCATGTTTTCCACAGAGGAGAGCAAGGCAGATTGAATTTCAGCCAGGGGTGTTGTCAGTCAAGTGCGGTTACTCATGGAGTTAGCATCTGTCTTGTTTCCGTTAACGTGAATTTCTGATGGCAGTAGAATAGCTGCAGAACGGTTTATAGAACAGCTGTAACTGAGTCCCTGCTTCCACGGTAAATGAATTTGGCTTTATGGCTTCTAACATTGTAATGTACTGTGCTGCGTGACACAGAGTACTGATTTGGTATAAATTCTGGTTCCAAGTCAGGGTGTTTTTTGTTTTTTGGGGTTTTTTTTGTAATTAATGTATCACACTTCCGCAATTTTTCCTACTGTGGAAGGAAAAGCAATACCTAAACATACTATAAAGCCAGCATAAAATGTGCCGCGTGCTCTGCCTGATTTGAGAAATAGTCATGCGGTCGCTCCAGATTTGGGTCAAATTTGTATTGCTCAGTGATCAAGTCGTTCTGTGATTGTAGGTATAGCGTGATTAGGGAGTAGTAAAGAGCTCCCTTGAGTTTCTCTAGGGAACCGATAACTACTGACAGTGTCACCCTCTGGAAATGATCACTTTGACCACAAAGGCCTGTGCGTGACTTTAATTTTTTTTCTTTTAACTGTGTTTAAAAAAAAAAAAAAAAAGGACAAGTTTCTGGTCGTCGTTTCTTATCTGCTCAATTTCCTCCTTTTCCCTTCTGTACCCTACCTATTCCAGCATATGTTATTTCTAAATTAAATTGACACGGTAACTTGTATTGAGCAATAGCCCGTGCTGCCCAAAAGCAGTGAATAGATGTTTTTTGGTTTTTTCTGCTAATACTACCACAATGCTTTGCCTGAAATCCGGGCGTCTTATGAGCCAGTATTTGTTTGAGGCGCTTGGGTTTTTCAACTTGAGCTCTTTTCTGCTTTCCTAATAATAGAAAAATGAAATGAGAAATACAAGTCAAAAGTTAAGCTAGAATCTCTCTCTCTCTTATTAGAGGAATAAATGTATTACCTTGAGCTGTTGGAAATATTTTTATACCACAGTGTTGCAGAAGGCAAGCAGGGAAGGAATCAGACTCATGAGCAAGTTATGATGCCTTAACAAGTCAGCTCACCCACAGTAATCATCTCTGCACACTCTTTGCCCGCAGGTAATGTGACTTAGCTTAACTCCTTTCATTTTAAAGACGAGCAAAGCTGCAGGAGGTTGAGTGTGTGCATATACCATTACTGTGGATAAGCTACTGCAAGAACTTGATTATGATACTTCCATGGAGCAATTACTGCCTGTTTTACCTCCAAAAAAGTAATACGCTTAAATAAGATCCACATAATCCTACTCAGTCTTGTTACATAAAACATACTAAATGATCGGAGACTTTTTTTAGTCTCAGTATTTAAAGGGTGTTATCATAACTTCATTTCTGAATCACAGCAGATTTATTTTTAGATGTAATACCTGCTGTTTTGTAAAAATGTGTTGTTAATATTGCACAATGCAGATTTCCTGAAGTACAGTGTGAAGTATGGCGGCATACTTTTTGTTAATACTACATTACACTTCAGAAATGGTGGACCTAGTCTGAGAGATCATTCTCGTAGCCGTACGAGGGTACCAGATCTCTGAAATGGTTGATTTTTTTTGTAAAAAATTCAAACAAATAGGGGGGGGGAAAAACACTTTTAAATTAATGAACTATTTGCAGAGTTTGCTGTGCTGCTTTAAATACGCAGTCTTTTGAGGTATTAGAGTTTTGTAGAAAAATGGAATTATAACGACAGAATAATTGTTTTTATTTTTATTTTTCCTTTCCTTTACATAAGAACATGAAAACGTTTTTAGACTTTTCATACCTGGGAAAGGGTCTTGACGTGCACTGCTTGTTGGCAGTGTGGAGGAGAGGGAATCTCCTGGGAGCTCCCGCCCGTCTGACTGGGTAGGGTCAGCGACTCCCACTGCTGCTGGTAGTCTGCTGCGTGGGAATTTTTGTTTCTTCATTCATCGACTGCTTCTGATTTAGAAGACCCTAGAAATGTCAGACTAAAAATTGCAGTGTCGTGTTGCACTTTTCTACTTCAAACTTTTATTCCTCGCTTTGGCTAAACTGCAGTGGTTTATCGGCACCACTCGTTTGCTAGGACCATTAAACATCAATCTGTGGGTTTCTAAAGCTGATTTTAGTGGTTATGGGTCGTTTTGGGCTACATCTTGCTTGTAATGTAGCGAGACTTTTATATTCACCATAATGTTCTTTTTAAGTTCCTCAAGACGTGGACTCGTGCTATTAGTATACTGTTTTCCATTTTACTTTTGCATGACTACTTGCTGCAGTGAGTGCGCATTAACTCTTCCATCCTCTCCTCTTTCTGTTGCAGAGGTAACTGATTTAGGTGAGTTCCTGTAGCTTTTTCCGGTCTTGTGAATGTCATCTCTTTTCTTTGCCCCTTTTTTTATGTTTGCGTTGTACATTGCTTTAAACTATGCGCAATATCAGCAAAGCGGTGAAGTGTTGCGTTCCTAAAACCTTTCAGAGTGAAGTATGCTGTGGGATCCTCTCCGCGCTCTGTGCATGCGTAGCTTAAACCACAAACTCTGTCTAACAGCACTTCCTAGGTGGATACGACTGCTGGCTTGTAAAAGCCAAGTTTCAACTTCTCTGTGAATTTAAGCTTGTCAGTGTGTGCTGATGAGAGTCAAAAGGGACCAAGGAACTTTGCTGTTAATTAAGCTGTGTGATAGCTTTACGTGCTTGAAATGCCAAGGAAGGCCGCTCTGAAGGGTCACCAAAAAGGATTCATTTAATTTGAGGTTGGTTTGATTCTCGGAAAATTATTCTTATCTTACTCTCTGAAAATCACTTAATCTTCATTATTGATTTTCAAAACATTCATTGGCTTTTTGATTGCAAGGAAAAAGAAATACCAACCTCAGAATCAAACCTAATTTAAAGCTTAAGTAAGTACGTACAGTAAAACCCAGTTGTGTCTGTAACAGCTGTTAAGTTCAACAGCTGAGGTACCTAGAGCGTGCTGGTCAACCGTTCGGCCGGACACTGGCACCGTCCCACCGAGCCCTCCCGCAGCGGCCCTTTCTCCAGCAGGGTGCCTGAAGGACTGTTGAATTTTGCTTGTTTTGGCCCCTGCAGAAGTACCTTTTTCCTAGTTCCACGTTTTCCATATAAGAGCAGGGGCGATTTAGCTGGTAGGCTTGGCAGTCGGGATGAGTCTGAGCTGCAGCTTTTTACAGAGCACGTTCCAGTCTCAAATCACCAAACCTACAGATGTTGCAGGTAGAGCTTGCATCCTCCTTCCCTCCCAGGAAAAGTAGTACACTTTTTAACAGTTGCAAATCTAGTTGTGGCCTCTACAGCTATGCAAGGAGCCAGACCTGAAAGGTAAAAATTTGGGTAGGAAATTTAATTGTAAACAGTTGGTCTGGAGACCTATTCAACGGGTAATGTTATTTTGGCTCTTCTTCCGCCATCACTTCGGTGTTTGCTGGGTCAGGTTTCAGTAAGCTGTTCCTCTTGGTACCCAGCTAGATTTATCGGTCAGCATCTGAGTTTTACACACCCTAGTGGAAAATACATAGTAGCGTACAGGCCAAGAAATGGGCCTAACTGAGGTGCAGCATGGATATCGGAGTGTAAGTAATGGCTGTGAATCATTACAAAGACATAATTTCTCTGCTAATGATAGAAAGTGCTTGCTTATAGGTGTGGTTCGGAAAGGAAACTTGAGTAGGAGCTAGTACAGCTCAAAGGGCTTCACGTGCTCTGCAGCTTTTTTCATACAACAAGCTGGCTGGTTAACCACGTGGAGCTGCGTAGCCCTGGGACGCTCGGGTGGGAGGCGGGAAGCACTGTGGCGGCAGCCTTTCTGCAGCCCTTCCTAACGCCCTGTGTTTTCTTTAGCTGGCCAGTTATCGATGGACGACCTGAACTCTCTCATTGCGCACGCCCATCGTCGCATCGACCAATTAAACAAGGAGCTGGCAGAGCAGCGGGTGAGAGAGCAGCAGCACATCGAGTCAGCCCTGGAGAAGCAAAAACTAGAAGATAAAAAAGCACTTGAGGCAGCTGTGGCCAAAGCACTGGAGCATCACAGAAGCGAGATCGAAATTGAACAGGAAAGAAAGGTAAATGGAGCAACTCACCTGTTTGAGTAGCAGCACGGATGTGGTAGAGCTAGAAAAAGTGCACAGAAGAGCAAGTGGGATGTTCTGAGTTATGGAAGACTTCAGACATGGG